TGCAGTGCCTCTGACTGAGAGATCCTAGGGTTCGAATCCCAACGGTGGCAGAATTTTCGACACTACAGTACCGGCAGCGTATAAGCGACTGTGACACTTCAATGCGCTATTGCCACACATTACTACGTTCATGGCAGCCAGAATTGCCTGCGTACGTGATTTCACGGAAATGGCTATTTCGTGCGATACCTGAGAGCGCTTATCAATGTAATTTGAAGAACAACAAAGTCAAAGGTAAACGTATTTTAAAGGGATCATTGTCGTTGGATTGAACGTTACACGTGATAATTATATTTTTTCCATTATCTTAAATATTTTATTTAAAACATTAGTTGTCGATTGCAAATAAAGCTAGGGTTTTTTAAACAACAAAATTTTGCTTTAAATGAAAGTTAGTAAGGGGGCCTAGATATGTTGTTACAGGCTCTTTTTTCACAGATTTTCTAGAATAAACTCTAAATTTTTATATCTTGAAAATAATAGAATGAACATTTGCAAGCAGTCATTTGTTCATTATTTTATTAAGCGAGCTGTTATGCATATACTGAAAGCATTCTGCATTTAATCTTCGAGGGAACTTGAGAGCCAGATAATGGAAGAGAAAATTGCGTGTTTCATGTTCTCAGAGTGATTTTAACTGCAATGTTTACTAACGGTATATAAAAACAATGTCCAACAGTCATCTGACACAAGTATTCTTTCACAAAAAAATAATTTATTGTAATTATACTTGTATGTGGTGGATTACGTTTTTAAGATAATGTGGGAAGGGCTTGTTTGTCAGAGGGGAAGATAATGCAATTATTTTTAATATATTTTATTGATTTATTTACATACAAAAAATAGAAAAAATACAACTTGCTCACAATCTCACGATCTCACAAGTATTTGAGTTAAGGAAAATGTTTTTACAACACATCTGTACAAACAACTATAACACGCTTCGTAGGTTTATTCATGTCTCCCGCGGCTTGATCCCACACCAGAATCCTCCTTTCACTGAGAAGTTGAAACTCGCCTCGAATTCCAGAGGATGCTTGGTCTTTGAACAAGGGTGCAGTTCAAAGTTGGCCAGCAAGTGCACCAGCGCCAGCTTCACTTCCACTAAAGCGAAGCGTTGACCTGGGAGAAAAACCAAGGATTAACTATTACCAATCTTAACTTATCTAAATCTTATATATGAACACATCGTCAAAATTTTATAGAACGTTTGTAAATTTTGTGAAGAATTAGGACTGTAAACTTGCAACGAAAATAGTTTTATAATAAAGTTCTTTAAACCTCTTACCTACAATTGTAAATATAACAACAAGTCCCAAATGGATGGTTTAATTTTTCTGTAAATCCTTGCACATCCTATCACATCAAATAATGTTTTAATTCAATAGCTACGATAGTAAATGTTGAAAATGTACAACGTTTAATGAAATCCAACTTACAATGTAACAAACACTTCTGAATAAATTACTTTCGTTAGCAGTAACGAAAAACCTGTTATAATAATCAATGATGTTTAATCCTGATGGTTTAATTGCCACCTCACTTGAATTAGTATAGGAAAATACGTGGGAAATATTCTCTGCATCTATCTTCAATTGTTCAAATTTACCCTGGCCGGAAATCAAACCCGAGAATCTAAAGCCGGCTTGTGAAGATCGAGGGGAAGGAAACTTACTTACTGATAGTTCGCGGGCGCATGTCAATATCAAACGGAGCGATGTTTACAGTACGAGTTGTGCAAATTGCTCTGGGACGGGAAAATGTCTGGAATACCTGCTCCTTGATAATCTCTTAGAGAAATGACATACACAAATGTTGTACTAAATGTATATAAATTAATTGTCATTTCCTCTACTAAAGCAAAGATATAATTCAATAATATTAAAGAATTCATGAAAGTTTTTAATGTTTTGAATTAGGAGTAAAATTTATTTCAGTCAGAAATAATATTTTGTAATCGCATCTATTAATAAGTGCAACAGTTGAGCTAATGTCCTCCGTTCAGATTAGGAACAATTATTATTACGTTAAAGAGCGGCTTCCCATTAGAGTGATATAATAAAGTTAAGATGTTTTACCACAGCTAGATTACAGAAAGACTTGTTACAAAATTATTTCACATTATTGCTGTATGGAACAAATAAGTTATGTAATAAAACAACAAAAAACGAAATCATACCATCAATTTGCTATTCAAACATATTAGAGCCGAAATGATTACACAAGCCAAGCTTTAAAAAGAAAATAAACATAAAATGACAAGTAATCGGAATATCATTTAAATTTTGTTTTAATAGAAAAACACATTTTCATCTGAAACAGAAATTCATCGTGGTGTTTCCACCGTGATTTGCCCTTACTTTGCCCGTTTGTGCTCGAGCGTTTCTGGATTTCGTTTTTGGATTTGGAGGGGAAATTTGGGCGGAGTCGGGGGAAGTCGTCCGTGCTCGGAGAGCCGGTCTTCTCCGGCGGGCAAGTACCTGAGCGGGCGCAATTGGACATGCCTGAACTAGAGAAACTTAGCTGCTCTTGTTTAAGCCACGAGTAAACCTGGACTCACGAGTTCGATTCCCGCGCAGAGTAACTAAGATATTGAAGAATTTAAGTTATTCTTATTATTCTTCTAACGCTCTGCTTATTGCCGACGCCCCGAGTAACCATTCGAAGTCAAGGGAGATTGTTCACATGAGAATGGCAATTAGCACATCCCTCGGCTATTACGATGTGACAGGGGCAAGAAGGAGGAAGAAAAGATCCGAAAAGTCTGTTTGTGATCCGTTGTGAAAGGAATTTCTCCTTCATTCGTTTTATCGTGATTGACTGACACCAATGACGCGTCCAATCAGAGCAACCAACTTCTGGAATCCTCATTCCCGCGAAAAGAGTTCCCATTAAGCTACGAACAAGCTACCTGGCTTCGGTCTAATATCTCGGCCCAATGAGGACTGTGACAACAATATCTTTCAGGATTTAAATACTCAATAAATATGATCTGCTTACGTATTACTGATTTTTCTTTTTTCTAGATTGTAGAGGGCTTTTTACTGATTAAGTCCGCAGTACCATCCGACAAAATCCAAGGCTCAATTTAGAAGCATTTGAACGGAACATTTTCTATACACGAGAACAAATCACAGTAAAAGTTGGGAATTTAGAATTTGAAAAGTCAAGAAAACGTGAGATCGGTGTGTGTTAATTTATTCGACACTATTCGTCTCCAAACTGCGACCCTTGGAACTAGGAAGATAAGATTTTTCCATACCTATGCAAATGCGTGGGCCCACGCCAAAGGGCATGTACGTGAAGGGCTTGATGTTGTGCTTGTTTTCGTCGCTGAACCGCTCCGGGTCGAACTTCTCGGGGTCGGTCCAGAACTCGGGGTCGTAGTGCAGCCCGGTGATGGGTATGGAGATGGGAGTACCCTTGCGGACGAGCGTTGGGCCAGACCTCGCACCGGCGGGCAGCAGCACGTCTTCGCGGCACACGCGGTCAGTGCCCACGGCCGGCGGGTACAGGCGCAGCGTCTCTGCGATGCAGGAGTTCCAAACGCACCTCAGGATGCCACACGTAATACTAATGCAATAATAAGTCTCCCTGCCCTCTCAGCACCCGTGCTGCGACCCGATGACGAATTGATTTAGGGCAAAAGTAAATATTGTTTAATACATTAAATAATTCTGAATATTTGGAAATATTAAAGCAAAAAACTCCATTCTTTCTATTTCAACATGCAAAATGGTAAAAACTGCACCACTAGACTTTACTACAGAATAACCTTCCTGTCCAACATCCAGGTACAAGTACAAATTAAGATCTCCAGGAAAATGAAACTTACATGTCCCTCATTTCACAGGATTGCGTGACTTCACCGCATGGAAGAGCTCGTATGTTTGTGACAAATTGATTGGAAATTAAGGAATTTTATTCACGTTCCTTGAATTCGTTTTTTAAATTAATTTTGTTTCATTTATAATTATTTAATTAAAATGTTAAATACCCTGGTTTGAAAACGTTCATTATTCATTTCCGTGTTTTCAATCCTATTCAAGTACACTGGAAGGTGAAATAAACCTTAAAACATATTGGGACGTGGTGTAAACGATATGATTTTGCACCTAGTGGATGAAAAGTTCGTGTTTCTTTCACCTAAAATGTTCGTAACACATCTACATTTATAAACTCCAAAAGGAATGCATAACTCTGTTTAGAATATCGTGTTCGAAATCGTCCAGGAACTCACCGTTGAGGACAGCGTCGAGGTACTTCATTCCCTGAAGGGATTCGTACGTTGGCTTTCCGCCAGTCTCCTCCATCATTTCCGCCACTTCTGCGTACAAGCGGTTCTGCACGTCCTCGTGGTGAGACAGTAGGTGAGCGGTGAGGCATATGGCGACTGAAACCGTTTCAAAGCCGGCGAAGAAGAAAATCACCGCTTGTGCAGAGAGATCCTCATCCGACAATACTGGAACAAACACATCACCTTTCCTTCAGTACATATTATGTACTAAACAGAAATAAATTCACGAATATGTATAGTAATGATATTGGTATTGTATGTATGCTACGAAACAATGACAAATTTGGATAGTCTCTTAGAATTATATTTTACTGTGATAATTGGTGGGGAAAAGAGGAGAAAAACATTCATATCTAATCACCTTTGGCCGTTTGTACTAACAATACTAACCAAGCCTCACAATACCGTCCCTTCGACGTACAGCACGAAGATATGCTTGTTTTGTGTGAGATATGTTATAGCTTAAGTCTCAATCTGGCTGATTCCCAAACAAGCCGGTTCATATTTACAGTATAGAATAGGGGATAAAGTCAGAAGAAGCACCAACTTCGAAATAAAGGTCTAGCTTACTAAAGCCGGATGAAGTTATCATTTGGCAACTGCTGCAGGTAAAGGTAGTTGCGGCGACAAACATATTTATTGATTAGTGATTCTGGGCGCGTCAACTGCTAGGGTCATTAGTCCTGTACGTGTTGTAGATGTTTCAACTGCGGCAGAGGGCAGTGATTTTCTCTCTCTGGCTGGCAAAATCCGGCGCCAACCTATGACTTGCGGGGTTTTCTCCAACCAGTTTCCACTCGCCACACGCTAGGGCACTGCCCCAGCCGGCGGCAAGCTCTAAGCTACCGGCTGGTTTCCCAAAAAGAGTAGTACGAGTAGTTTAGTTCATGAGAGTGTGTGCACGGGATGAGGATAGGACAAGGAAAAGGAAGGAAAGATCGCGCAGTTCCTTTCCCGTTCTGCTCCGGCATTCACCTGGTATTGATCGACGAACTACCGATCAGAGCATTCGGCCGCTAGAATTATCCTCCTGACAGCGGATAAATTCAACCTAGCTGTTCAGATAGAAATGGAAATCCTGCAAACAGGGGCTCGAACCAAGGACATCAAAGTCAGAGATACTCTCGTGACATCAATTGATGTTCTGAGACACCTTAGCCTGTTGCATAGATAATAATCAACGTTAATAAGTACAGACTGCGGAAGTTTTCTTGTGCTCCAGCATCCCTACCACTCTACGTTACTACCACAATTTACTTGTATGAGATATTCTTGAGAGTGACACCCATTGCATGGATCACTATTTTATCGTGGACAACAAAATTATATGTGTACCAGAATCGTAGCACGTTTATGTTATGATAACGCCCACTATTTAACAACTATATTCCTTAAATTATAAGTGTGTTATTTTAATTATAAATTCCATATCAAATTGTTTAAATTAACATTCAACTGAAACTCTATCGATGATATTGAATCAAGAACATGAAGATACGAGTCAGTCTCTCAGACTTCACTGCGCCTACATCTACAAAGGCCTCCGTTGAGTGTTCGGTGTTCACCTTGAGCTACATTTATGTGAAGGGATATGAAGAGCATGTGAAGGAGTGGGTGAACTTACTGGCTTTCCTGGCGCCCACTTCCTCCGCTTCCGACGCATCTTCTTTCTCCGCCTTGAGCTGCCCCTCGCGCGCCTGCATGAGCAGCTGCAGCATGTCGGGACGGAAGATGCCCTTCTGCTGGCGCTCCTTGATTGTAGCGTGCACCAACGAGTCGAAAAACTCCGTCGCTTTGGCATCCAGCACTCTCAACTTGAGAGACTGATAATCAGAAACGGAGTATTATTTAATGCAGCATTTCGTCATTTCCGAGCCTCGTACAGATATTTCTGCATACTAATTATTCTGAATCTAATGGAAAGCATTGACCGTATAAGTATTTGTATAGTCTTGTGATTTTTTTCATCTGTCGAGTAAACGTTTCATTGAAGAATAAAACTCTGCAGGTGATAAAGTAACGTTCTTTGTGTTGAGTGTGTTATTTGTCACTCGATGTAATATATCTTATTATTTGGCATCGAGAATTCATGTTAAGACTATTTGTCTATTATTTTAATCAACCGAATTAATATTGTTACGGAATTCATGCAACATAGGCATTACAAACACCTGAAAATTTCAAATATTATCTCATTGTGTATTTCTTTATGCATTTACCAAAATATAATTTTGAAACGATTAAAAGAATAATTTTGAACATATGCATTATCTAGCCACGTGTTAGATACGTCATGGTGCGTCTTCAAATGAAGCTGAACGGAGAATAAATGGGCGAATTAATTTATTTTTTGAGAGCTTTGAAAAACGTTTTTCTTTGATTAACTGTGATCTATCGAATAACTGTAATAAATTTATTTGACAATGACAGAACATTTTTAATAACCAACGTCGCAGACATCTTCACTGACCTGCATTAGTCTGGGAAATAGTATGTATCCCAGAAAGATGAGTGTGCGCAGTTTGGAGAAGGTAGTCATAATTTTGCCCCAGCGGTAGAACTCGTTCTGAGGGTGTTCGAGGGAGTCGCAGCTAACGCCGAACGCCGCACTCGCTATGACGTCGTTGGCCATGCGGCTGAACAGGTCCTTCATATCAGTGGGAAGAGGTTCCTTCAAAGCCCCTGAAAAGTAGCATTGGTTCAGGCAAGTGAAAACCAATGCATTTCCCTCTTCGTGGAACAAATTTGTTTGTTTTTGAAGACTAGTCTAAGTTCTAGAAAATGTTGCACATCTAATATTTTCTGATATCTATTAGAGCTGTATAATAGGTAGGGACCTGAATGTAAAGAAAATTGCCTATGATTTTTTGCTTCCGTAATTTGAACTTTTCTGCTATGATTTTGTGCACCAAATACTATTATACACGTTATTACGAAATGACAAGTCGCGACCAATTTTTTTCAAAATCCGACCTGTGTTGGGCTTTGAATATATCTGAAATGCGCGTGCGTGCGTTGTTTTTGGTATATTCTATATTTAAACACATCTCACCCCATCATCACAGGGTGACACCGCGTTGACCGGTCTCAGACATTATTATTTTCCTCTCTCGAATCTCCAATAATACTCAAAAGACATAAAAACCTTTGTTTCGAAGTAATACAATTTCCAGAAAGTAGAGCAGTGTGCTATCTATCCAGTTTGATTTCTATTAGAACATATCCTTTTCGTTCCATGTTAACTTCAGTGAGGGGAAGAGCAAACGCTGATAATCAGCTCTGAAAGAAATCTGAGAAGTCTGTCGAAAGTAAACAACACCCTCGCACGAGAACGACCTGTTGCGTTGAGCGATTGACCGCTCCATCCCAAAAATCCTTAATCCCAAAAAAGCGGGACCGCCCTGGAGACATCTGTCCGAACTCCGCGCAACTGTTGATTGATTGATTGATTGATTCCGGGCGCGACAACTGCTAAGGTCATTACTCCCGAAAGTGTAGAGCACGTTTCTTCCTTGTAAGGGGGCGGTGATCGTCCCCAGCTGGATGATACGATCCGGTACCGACCTACCATCGTTTGGTTGATTGATTGATTGTTAGTGATTCTGGGCACGTCAACTACTAGGGTCATTAGTCCGTAAGTGAAGTGCATGTTTTTTGATCGGGAGGTGACGGTAATCTTCTCCCACTGTATGGCGAGATCCGGCGCCGACCTTCAGTCGGCTGGCCGGGTTTCCTCTCAACCAGGTATCTTCCACTAGCGGGGCACCGCCCCAGCCGGTACAAGCTCTAAGCTGCCGACCGTCTACCGACATCTGTGGTAGTGCATGAATGTGTAAGAGGTGAGGATAAGACAAGGACGAGGTAGGAAAGATCGCACACGGGCCGGAGCCCGTTTGTTAGGGTACTGCCCCGACATTCACCTGGAGTTGATCGAAAAAACTACGTAAAAGTACCGACAAGAGCAGCCGACCGCTAGAATTCTCCCCTGTCAACGACAGAACTCGACCCTAGCTATCTAGCTAGTGTCGAAAATTCTGCCACCATCGGGATTCGAACATGGGGCAATCTGGCCACTTGCTACCCTGAGCCACCTCTCCCGGCCCGCACACTTGTTGAGTGGACATAGTTGAATCAGAGTAAATGAGATATTATTATTATTATCATTATCATTATCATTATCATTATCATTATCATTATTATTATTATTATTATTATTATTATTATTATTATTATATTATTATTATATTATTATTATTTAATATTATTGACTTGAGAGTGAAAGAGAACAAGAGAAAAATCAAACATTCAATGTGGATATAAAACAAAAATATCGGCAAAGTGATATGTGACCAATTGCTGATACAACTAAGAAGAAAGGAAGTGTTCAGTTTTGTCCAGTAGATTGAGGATACCGAGTCAGCGAGGGAGCCAGTCATCCTATAGTGTTATGATTGAGGTGGCGCGTTGTCAGTAGTTGGAGTATAGCCCCAGAAGAGAGCGATCTGAATGGAGTATCACATTAAAGTTTTAGATCATGGTAGCGAGAACTTGAATGGACTTGTGTGTGCTCGTATGTATAATCAGCGCACGTTTTCGTGAGTTCTCATATGCTAGATGCGAGGGGCGTGAGGGAGGTATTTCGGCAACATGACTTATTATTATAAATCTGTAGCTCGCTTTTCGATGGAAAATAGCTTCTTTTTACATGGGAGAGAATATTTCTGGCTTTCGGATTTTGTCAACAGCGCTCCTTATCTTTATTCTTAATTCAACTAATGCTTGTAAAGGAGTGGTGTTGGGCTTCTGCGTTCAAGAAAATTTGCGCATGTAATAGTAGTCAATTCAGAGATAAAAACGGAAAGTTTCGTAATTTTTCGTGCAAGTTATCACCAAATACATAAGAAAAATAATGATTTGTTATTCGTAAGTACGCGCATAAAATAAAATGCAAAGTGATTGCAATACCATAAAATGTACGAATATTAACATTATCTGTCATTATAATTGATCTTTTTGTTTTGTTATATTATTTTTTTTATAAATTAGGTATTTTGGAGTGCACGCGGTTTAAAAAGCTAATCGTATTAAATTATCGGTAAAAGCAACGTTGAATACGAGTTTTATTTCATTAACCACTGAAAGACATTACATTTCTCTGACACCATTTCTATACAGAAATAAATCAATATGGGACTAAAAAAAGTGTAGTGTAATTCTAAAAAATGTTGTAGATTTTGTAGTGTCATTTACCAACAAAACGAATAAGCGTGACCGACTGGACATATTTGCAGCTCAAACTACACAACTCACACATGTAACTGAACTATTAATTTTAGTTTTGTTATAAGTAATCTTATGTTCTTCCAAATTTGAAAACTTTTTGTTTCTTCAATTAATGTATTTCAAAAAAAAATCTGAGTACTTTATAATGCATAAATGTGATAGGTTCGTGCGAAAAGCACAAAAACTAAAAAGAAAATAAATATTGAATTCAGTTTGTTCAACATAATTAAAGAATATAATAAAATATGGACTTACCCTCTTTGCTGTCCGCGTATTTCTGCCGTAGGTGGCGAACCATCTGCTCCCCGCACTTCGAAATGAGCGGGAACATTCCCTTGATCTTGCTGGTGGTGAAGGCGGGACTCAGCGTAGCTCGCATGTCTCTCCAGGCCTGGTCTGAGACGTAAGTAAAAAATTATTTTAACGAATTTCATCAACGTTTTAACCAAAATATGTCCCAGGAAGAAATGCTACCTTTGATGTTGAAAAGATTCTTGCCAAAAACGGGGTCTGTTTTTTCACTCTGTACTGTTTGATGGTTCATGAATTTGTCGAATTCCTTCACCGTAATCACTTTCAGAATTTCTGGATCTCTTACGATGAAACAGGGTTGTGTTAATTGGAACATTCCATATATTCCATGACCTTCGGCCATTTTGTACTGCTCTTTGATGACATCTGTGAACGGCCTTAATCCCAAAAAAGCTGACACCATGTCACCTACGAAGGGCACTTTAGGGCTTGTGGAGGGGATGCCCTGCTTGCGGAAGTAGTCGTAGTTCCAAGTGCCGACGATGTAGAGAAGCAGCAGGATGCCCGCGAAGACGAGGGCCCAGTCGCCAAGCGTAGGCCGCGACAGAACTTCTGTCACGTAGTGCCACATCCTGGAAAATGAAAGAGGGGTCATTTCTGGATGTTGATTCGCCATCTTGTAATTACACCGAAAGCATCGGCGTCTGCCTCGATCACCACGGGAGGATAGCATTCTCCATTCTTTCATTTTTACAGTTATGTTAAAATACAGGGTAACAGCAAATTCCGAAGTTATTCCGAAGTTCCGGTGTTATTCCGAAGATAGTCGCTTTGCCAATAGAATGAAAAAAGAAAACACTTTTTAACCATCCACAAATTACATACCTACTTTCAATTATCAGTTTCTTTCCAGAACCTTGAATAGCGTGTGTTTAGTAATCCTTGAGTTCACACGGTTCAGTTTTTCTTATTATAAATGTACTATTTGCTGCTTCAGTTTAAGAAAAGAATCAAAACAATTGTTGAATTAACTAATAAAAGCTGAGAATTAAGGTTATATTTAAAATATTTAACATCGGGAATTTACAGTTTTCTTATTCTTCAATGGAATTAATAGCGGAGAAAAATGAATAGAGGGGAAAATCATATTGGTAATTTAGGTAATCAAGAAAACCTACGTACATGCTAAAGTTAGGAGATATTAGTTGATAGATCACTTTTGAAATTTGTAGAAAAAATATGAATAGTCTCAAGACGAAGATGAAATCTATATACATGTCATTTTCGAAATAAATGAAATAATGCTGTGTAGTTAATGTTTCGTGTTACTTTGGGGATAGAAAGACATGATTAGTACAGACAAGATGGCCACGGTTTTTTTTTTTTTTTTTTGGAAGTTCATTTTTACATTAATTCGTAGAATTAATTCCAAATTTCCTAAAGATAAATATATTTTCAACATTTTTCTAACTCTTAAATTTTGTCTTCATAAATCCTCTTAAAGGTGTAAAGGTTAAAGGTTAGTGTCCATAACGACTGTCCTTATATTGTAAATTTCAATGCTCCAAAAGACATTATCGAACAGAAAGTAACATTTAAAAAAATCCATTAGCACAACAACGCAAAAACTAAGAATGTAAATAACCATCAACGACCACCAACAAAACAAAGTGAAATAATAACACTAGTAACGTTACATCATAAGGAAAAGCGCACGAATTGCACACGCATTAAAATTTTAAACAAACATCAACTTAACTAAAATGCTCTGTCATTCTGTTCTGATGATATAATCCGTTTACTAACATCCCTAACTCTAGCAGCCAGCATTGTGGTGCTGTGAAATAACACATTATAAAAGTGACACTGACAACATCTTCTGTTGTTGCCCGCAGATATTATCTGTTATGTTTAAATAATTACCAATGCTGTATTGTAATAACTTCATGTCACATTTTTTTTCATTTCTTTCAGGATAATGCGCATAATGCACGCATCGAATGGTGTAAGTGCAATTTGAACTAAAAATATTTTCTAAACTTAGACGATACAAAAGTAAAAACAGCCGATACGTTGGTCGAGATCGCCGAGGCACTAGTGCCGTATCGATCTCGGACCAAAGAATCGCGGGTTCGAGTCCCGCCTGGAGCATGGTGGTATTGTGTTCGTCCTTTCACCCCCTATTAACATCATATCGTGTCACCCTCACAGTTACCATACCGTTACAAGCAATAGTGGTCGCTAATGACCTAGAAGTTGATGCGACCTTCAATAACAAAAAAACAACGTAAAAACAAGAGTAAAGAAAGCTACAAACGTACGTTTCCTCTAATTACGTGCAATGAGCACACGTGCCTATTAATTTTAATTCAAGATGAGCTCTTTTCGCACAATGGTTCCCTTTGGTAGGCCTGGCGAAGAAGGGAAGTAACGACCGAGGTGGTGACAGCACGGAAGAATGGGTTGTTGCAGCACATATTGTGTCATAGACGTTCCTAAACGCATAATCAATTGATATAAAACAATTACTACGAACAAATTGTGCATAACGAATAAATCTATATAACACGCCATATCTTGCGATAGATCTCCGCTCCAATATTTTTCTCAGGAAGTGTGTAACAGAAACGTTTACTCTGTAGCATGAATTACGTTAAGTACATATTGCATTTGGAGAGCAAACACGAATCCTGCAGGGAGCGTTTCGGCGAGCGTGAACAGTTGGCAGCGATGAGTTTTGAAGAAGTGTTTGTGCTGTGAGTACGTACGTGACAGGCTGCAAGCCGGGAGAGGTCCGAGCGCTCGGTTCCTCTCGTCGCAGTCGACTGAGCAGCGGAGGCCATGCGCTGCTTTTATCAGAGGGAATCGACTCAATTCGTCGGCGCTCGCTGACGTCACACACCACGACTTTCGGGCGGCCCTCCTCGTCCTCCTCATCCTCCGTGAAACAGCTGGCTAACGTCGCCACCTACCAGACAGCGCGATCTATTGCTCTCACTCATTCTCTCACTCATTCTCTCTCATTCTCTCTCTCATTCTCTCTCTCTCATTCTCTCTCTCTCATTCTCTCTCTTTGTTTCTTTCTTCGAGCACATTCAGCACATTTCCAGGTACACCCCCACATGCAAGGACCATTCCAATCACAGCACCATCGCTCTGTTGTAACATCACAACCCAAATGTAATGGAAATCGGAAATACGGCTAATGTTAGGAGTGGTAGGTTAATTTTCTCAGAAGCCAGACGGTGTCGATTAAGTTACATATCGGACGATGGACGGAAGTTACAGACTTCATGAGTATAATGTTGGCATTGGCCTCGTGGCACTGCTTAAAGGAAGGCGATGGTCCGAAATTGAGGATTCTTGGTTTCTCAAGAAGTACGGCATAAAATACTTTGAAAAGTATGCGGTGCATAGATACAAGATAAGTTTATGTCAGCTGCGAGAGGTTAAAATTGTGAAGCCTTGTCGCGTACTCCGTGTAAGTATTGAAGAGTCAACTGACCTATAGAGGTGACAGATTAAATAACATTAGTTTAGTTAGTTATCACATTAACAGAAACCATTGGTGTTACAACGTATACTTCTTCGCATTGTTTACAACGGCTACACAATATTATAGTACATAACCTTGCTAAAATGTTTCCAAACACCAATTGTTTTTACTCCGCGCAGGACTTCGAACTCAAATCCTTCGAGTTAGTACGCCATTCACGTTACACTCGCCACATAGGCCTTACAGCTAAACTCAATATTTTCGATGCACAAAACTGAAGATCTGTATTAGTATTTTTTTTAAACTCACAGATTTTTGTTAACATTATTTGAATATCTAGTTTTAAAGAACAGATATTATGACGGAAAAAGTATCTTATTATCAGTTTTGGAGATATGCAATATTTCCGTCGGTCCTTTCCTCCGTCTGTGCCTTACACTAAAGGCTGTTATAAAAACTCAGCTCTTTAAAAATGGTCATGGACAATCTTTTGAAACATTGAGTATATTTTGCTTAATTTGTGTCCGATATTTATGATATTTTTAAAAACAATATTTTCTCAAAAACAGCTCAGCTCAATTTTTTTAAAAATATTTTCTCTTCAATAATGTATACCAAAGGCCATAATTGTAAATATTGACGACGTGAAAGAGACGTTAAAAATTACAACTGTGGATTTTTTTGAAAAAAGAGAAGAAAGGATTAAAATTATGTTTATGTCATCTGATTCAGTACATTCGACACTATTTCTACCAAAAGCTGAAAGAAAAGATTTGGATTAATGTTTGAGAAAGTTTTGTTTATGACTTTTTTATTATTGCACATATTTCAATCAATATTGCTCGAAAACGACTAAATTTTTCCAAAAATGTACGTGGCCTTTATGAAAATGTAATTATGGAAAGCAAATTTCATTTGAAAATATCTCTATCCTCAATTTGTAGTTCTTGGAAGACATGGTAAAAATTCCAATCTTTTGCAATTTTTCGAAAATTAAGAGTTAATTGCGGACATCGGATCTATGCCACCTTAATGTAAATCTATTCATATAAGAAATTTAAAGAAATTATTTGGAGTTTGTTTGTTTTTTTGAGAAAAGTTTGAAAATATCGCAGGAACTTCATATGAAGTACCCAAAACAATTAAAGAATGTTTTTTAGAATAGCATAGCTTTGACTGAAGTCAAATCGACAGGGGTTTATTCAGCTTGGAAAACAACTACGCATTGTTTAGCCGTTTGTGGTGTTCACAGATGAACGAACGAACGAACGAACGGACGGACGGACGGACGGACGTTTTGAAGAAAAACAAACACATTTTTTTATTATGAGGAGACCCCTGGATATATAGGCAATTTTAAAACAATTATATTCTCAAAAATTGCTTCAATGACCTTCCACATGGCATATAGCTGCAGAGTTTCTCTCAATTTCTTCGCGCATTATGAATTAGTAATGTAGATGCTCTCTTTTTTTTTTTTTTTTTTTTTTTTGAGTTGTGTAGTCTATATCCAATCTAGAAATATCCTCACTCGGAAAGGTGCTGGATGCACAGTATTCTGTCAATTTCAGTGGGCTTTGGAACTTAGTAATATAAATTGTCTTGTAGAGGAGAAATAGAGAAATAGTTCGGAGGACTATGAACTGGAGGAATCGTATTAAAATAGTTTCAAAATAAAAAATGATCCAACGCAACAATCAAACAGACCTAACGAGATGGAATGCATTTCTCCTTTGGTTTGCATACATTCTGAACCGCATTCAATTGCTGTTGAATTTTTTCCCTGAATATTTCAGTAGAACAAAATAAATATTCATTCATTATAAAAATAATTACTGCTAAACGTTTGCTTTCTCCTCTTTACATTGGTCGTTTTCTCAGTACGAAGAACCATGGTTTCCTGATAACGTTGTGGTCAGGATAAAATCACTGTTCTGTTGTATATTCAGAATGAAATTTACGTGGAACTTAATGCAGTGACGTATTACGAGAAAGTATCATATAGGGACGAAACACCCAGCTTTGAAATACGTTTACGACATTGTATTGAAATGATTTATAGAAATTTATTTATTTTCCCAGTATTTCTAACTTATTTCTTACTAATCCCGATAAGAGGCTGGATGCATATCTTGAAATGGGTCATTGTTCCATTCAGTATGATTATACCCCTAAATATTTTGAGTCTTTCGAAATCTTATCTTGCTTTTTATCTTAGAATCGCTCTATTCCGCTGGATCATTTCCTGTTGGTATTTATTTGGCACTTTGTTTTCTTAAATGCGCACTCGTACGCTTACACACAACACTCAAGGTTCAATAGAACACATCCGGATTACTGAACAATAATTCTCAAAGACTCCAAACGTATTATTAAGATGTTTATTGTAATGCCCATAACTTCTCGGGATATGTCGGGCGCCAGGTTCAGTTCCTGTAACGATTGGATGTAGTGATAGGGAGGTCAAAAAATTTTCCCAGGTCCATTGACTCGTTTCTGACAAGATTCAATTTATATCCTGACACCAAAAGCTGCCAGGAGTTAGACAGTGTCGTTCACTAGAGGACGCGACCTATATTATTATAAAACTTATGTTACGAGCTCCATAACCTAAACATTAATGAACAAATTCCTTACACTAACATGAATAACTTCTTTCTAATGATTATCATAGCATAACTTTTAACACAATACAGCAAGGCGCTGGACGCCATGTGCATAATGCTCTCGTCAGATGTCGCGCAATGTAGCCCCGCGTCCATAACTGACATGGAGAGATATGTCGATTCGGTTAAGATCCGGATTATTTCACACACTGCTGCGGTGGGCTCCGCAGAACCTGGCCGGATGTGGCGTCCTCATGCAAACGGCGCGCTCAGGTCACCGACTCCCACTGAGGTTTAGTCTCCTTTCGGCTGGGCCAGCGATGATAGTGGACGACGAGCCGTCAACTCGTGCGGCTCAGTCAGTTGAGACACACCGGTATGCCGTAAGTTTTAGGTGCTCGGCTTGATGGCGCCGATATGGCGTAGGCAGCGCATGCCAGATCATTCTTACGCGAAATGACGCAGCATGTCTCAATCTCGCCCAGTTACCTCGCGTAATTTTAAAAGTGCTATCTATTCGGAGATTGACTTAAAGTGGTATTCGAAGAGATCTGATTGCTAATCTCATTCGAGAATCTGAATGCTAGTCTCTATCTCGGAGAATCTGATCAAGTGTCCATTCGAGAAATTGGAATCCTAAGTAAGATTTCTCTGCGCATCTTGCGCCCAAGTATCACTCCGTCCCCCCTCCCAAGAACGTTCCGAACCCTGCATCTGCTTCCCTTCCCTCCCGATGAGACGGATCCATAGGCCGAAAACTAAGAGGCGTCTTAATTTTGAGTCGCCAACGGCGTGCATCGTTACGAAATTTTCCAGGGTAAATCTCTTCTTTCACCTCGGCCCTCTTCTGCTCCTCTCTCTCTCCTC